TGCTACGTAATCGGGAGTATTTTTAAATCTTATACGTATTCGTTGAACGTAATAAAGGTGGCTTGGCTTTCAGTTAAACATCATTTTCAGAATTATTGGTCAACCAACACAATTTATTTACTCAAAATATTATAAGGAACATATAGTTAAACGAAGTGTATTGTATTAATAATATTAGGTCACGCAAAGTTAATTTTCGGTTTGCATTATATGAAATCTGAAATTTTGTTGGCGGTCGGATTTTTTCTTTTTTTCTGTAGGCTCTATCGGATAATTTCGGACAATTAAGGTCTCCATCGTGTTATACCGGATAAGATGACAGATAAAAATAAATTGTAATAATAGAATCGACAATTAAAACGAAAATTTCGAAAAATTGAAAAATGGGTCGACGGGTTATGCAAAACGAAAATTTAACTTTGTGTAGTTTACCGAAGAATACACTAGTATTCTGAATCTATTCTCAACTCGTAATCGATGCTTGAACCTATTAAAATCGATTTTGAAATTGATTCTATGCGTACAATATGTACAAACTCAATAAATTCTTTTTTTATGGAATTTAAATAAATCTTGGTTTACAAATAGATTAATAATCAATTTAAAACCTGCCTTCAGAGATTATATTGATAGAGGATGTTGGTTGATCACACCATAATTAATTACTTTATGTTGACAATTAAATTTGTTTTAAATACGATCAATTATAACGAAAATAGAATGTAACAAACATTAAACTTTATCCGGAATACCACCACACTATTTTATTCTACAAAAAAAGATGTGATCGATCAACTATTTTTAAAACAGCCTTGCTTAGATAATCTCCAAACTTGGAAATGCAAAAAGTCCCGTGACTTGTACTACATTCCGGTTTCGGAGTTAGGTTATCATATTTAAATTCTAATCATTCTGAATAAAGTTTAATCTTAATACTATCACTCAATGTACAGTAAGATTAAATTTCTTAGGTTTTATGATAAGAAAAATCTATATGACGTCCTGGGCAAATTTTCCTGTCTATTTGTGGTGAATCAGATTAATTAAAAACTTATGCTAGGATAAGACTAGGTATCGGCAGGGTTATAGTTATTTTAATTTTACATAGATATTAGTTTGACACACAGCATATATTCTACAAGTATTAGTGGGGCACTTTTTATTTTAGTCCACGTTATACGATAGTTTATTGAGGTGTATTCTATCGGTTGATTTCCAAACATAGTGCAGATGATATAGTGAAAATCATATGCTAAATAAATTTTTTTATAATAAAAAATTTTAGGCCTACATTCCATATTAAATTATTATAAAAAATTGATTTACTTCGCCTTTAATTTCTCCCGCAATATTTAACATTTTTAAATTCTATAAAAGCAAGATGTTTAATGAAAAGTGTTTTTATAACGTCAGAAATTAATCTACTAATCGAAATATTTCACGGCTTACCTGAATACGATTGACTGCGATTACATAGTAATTCATTGTCATAAATTTCAAGTGTACGTTAAACAAATATAATTTTATTTGTACATGTTTTTTGGTTCAAAAGTTATTAAGGATTAGATTTTTATAAAAACCCGGCCATCTATTTACTATGTAGCCTACATGTGGCAAGCATTATATTTTTAAATCGTGTGATAGCAGACACCCAGGTAAGCCGTGACCTTAGCTTCAATAAAGTCTCTGATTTTCGGTAGAATTTTCGATAAGACTTTCGATTTCGATAAAACATTGGGCCTTCAGTATGCCCTTTGACTTTTGGCTTTGTACGATAAACTTCCAAAGCACCTTGATATTTTTTAGTATTCCAAAGAAAATAGTGTAAGTAATGTGTAAAGGTATAAAAACCAGATACTGTATCTTGTTAAATTCCAAAAAAAGTAGTGTAAGTAATGTGTAAAGGTATAATAAACCCAGATATTGTATCTTGTTAAAAACGATCTCAGTGCATAGTTTTCGTTTGGAAGTGCACTTTACAATTACGCAATCGGATTTGATGCTGAAATATCAAAAAATTTCGCACGGTCATAACCAATAGTAATTATGTCGCCGTAATTGCAGATTTCCCAGTCTATTCTGTTTTTTCTCATAGTCATTGGATTTAAATCTGCACATGACCAAAATGATTGGTAAAAATGTGCAGGACACTCGTGACGGGCGATAATTTCATAATAAGAGGAAACCATAATAAAAACATATAAACTTTAAGCCCCACATTATTTTCAACTTACAAATTAACTTATTTTCAAATTTTGGGGTTAAACGAAAATAATAGATTAAAGTTATTTTGAACACTTTTTTAAAATTCCGTAAAAATTGCTTATTTCCTTAACGGAGTTTACAAAAAAAATTTTTTTAATTTTAAAGTCATGATTCCATGTAAAATCCTACGCCGAACAAGTTTACTTAGAAGGTGAAGATAGATTGTCTTAGTAAAATAAAAAGTTTGATATATACAAACCTTAAAATTTTAGTTTATCTATGTAAAACTTTTTTTTTACTAACACAAACTTGTTCAGCACGTAATTTTACGTACCCGTGTCCCGCCGATTTTGCTTTTTGAATTTTTTACTAAGTAAAAATTAATTAAAGTTACACAAAAATTTTTTGTGTAAATTTATTATTTTTTACTTAGTAAAAAGAAATCCGCGAGACGTAAAATACGTAAAATTACGTGCTGAACATGTTTACTTAAGAGGCTGAAACAGATTGTGTTAGTAAAAAAAAGTTTACATAGATAAACAATTACATTTTTTATTTTACTATGATAACCTATCTTCACCTTCTAAGTAAATTTGTTCTGGGTGGGATTTTACATGTAATCATGACTTTACAATTAAAAAAATTCTTTTTGTAAAATTCCGCTAAGGAAATATGGAATTTTAAAAGTGTTCAAAATAACCTTAATCTACTATTTCGATATGCTTAACCCCAAAATTTGAAAATAAGTTGATTTGTAAGTTGAAAATAATGTGGGCTTAAAGGTTATAGTAAATTCATATGTTTTTATTATAATTTATTATTCTATGAGACATATTCCCTGACTGATATACGTACGCACTAATTTTCCCAAATTTCTATTGGCTGGGATTATCCGCACCAATTACATGTCACTTTCTCTTTGAAATGTGACGTATCAGTTAGGGCTAATGAGTTATGTTATAATAAAATCGTACAAGGCAGTGTATAAAATCCGAAAAAAATTATTTGTGCACATCCAATTTAAAAAAGTGTGCACATTATGCACATGAATTTTATACACTGGTACAAGGGATTTTTTTTAGTGTGTATTTCTTAGCCGATGTTTTGAAATGAATGAGACTTGTCAAAAAAAAGTGATTGTTTTTCTTTAATTTTTACGTTACACATTGACCAATAATTGTGTCACATTATCGCACGACCAATAGAGGCTTGGGGAAAATTAGTATACCCCTATATTGTTACCTTAATTAATCTCGGTGGCTTGCAGCTGAGATTTTGATTTTTTTTAGCAATTCTATTATTCAACCCATTTAAATCTGAGTAGTGCACTGTACAAAAATTAATATTTTGTCCATTTCTACAATGATAAAATCATTATTTTGACCATTTCTGCAATAATAAAATTATTACATGCATTCATGTATGTTTGCGCACGCAAGGTACAGCATATATATAGTAAAAAAGGCTTGATGAACCTATCCCTTAAACGGTCAATTTAACTTCAGACCTACTATGCTATAGACTACAATCTAAATAATTTTGTAGCTTTATCACAGATCAATCATGAAATTTGCAGGCATATTTGTCTACAAACGGTTTAAAGGATGAATATTTGAAAATTTGTAAAATTAATATATTTGATATCTATTTTAAAAATAGTAATTAACAGTACACGAAAAATTTATTAAATTAATAGTTTTACGCGAAAACTTCATTAAATAAATAGTAATATTCTACTACCCCTAATGTTAACCGTGAATATTTCTGATGATATTTTTTATTATGACGTAATGCTGTGAAAATATCAAAAATTTCATGGGCATAGGATTGTGAAATATATAAGATGTGCCATAATATCCACAACAGCTAGTAGAACATTTATTATATACATAAGGAGTTCATTAAACAATGTTTAGATTACAAATAATTTACGACGACAGAATAATTAAATAATGTGCTTACGAAACGGAAAGATTATAAAAGGAGTGAAATATCTCCAATCTCTTCTTTAAAACCATCTTTTCGTTTCTCCCTTTAAACTATATATTTATCTCTAATTCCTTTTTTAAGCATAATTTTCCTTATTAAATTATAAATTAATTCATCTCCCAAACACATTTATCTCATTCCATACTACTTTAAAATGCATACTAAATTGGTTACTATTCTTGTTATTGTCCTTTGTGCTCTTTGCGGTAAAGTTCTTTCTTTGTCATGATAAGAGTTGTCCTGTAATCACTATTTCATTCTCTTTCTTATTGTTTGTCACTGCACTGTGGGTAAGCATGTGTCCATAAAGTCATCTGATCTTGCAATTCGATGAAAAGCTACTCATTATTAAAAAATTAAAAAGAACATCTCACCAACGATGATGATAGCAATTGAAAGTTATTAAACATTGATTATCCGTTTTTAATTACTAAGAAAGATTATCTTACGGTTATAACCATTTCGCGGTTATTAACCGTAACCGATACTAGTCAGAGCGGCTCGACTGACCGACATAACCGATGACGATCAGCGTTTTAAATGTAATTTTCACACGCACATATTTTTCCCACACCAGCATGATGGCATGTGAATACGCATGTCAGTATTATCTTAACTCCTACTAGATTTGGATAAATGAAAACCATTACTTTTACCAAAAAAGGATTTTTTAAAAATGAGCATAGCGAACATCAAAAAAGTTGAACGGAACCATCCCTCTCACATTTCATGTGATCGTACTGGTATAATTAATTATATGTATAAAAGAGAAGCAAAAAATTCGATAACAATATGAGGTCTTTGTCTTAAGAGGTTATTGCACAGGCAACTTCTTTAAATGGACCACCATTTGTATGCGAAATAACACTAATTTGTATATAGTATCCTTCTGGTAAACTTGAAAGTTTCACTGGCATTGAAAATGAATCATTAATTGCGCTGTGAGCTTTAATGACCGAAGGAAGATCAAATGATTGACTTAGCAAAGAATCATCATTTGCGTCATTAAAATCCACCACAACGGATCCATTATCCCCAACATCATCAGTTACAGTTGCAAAAATATCAAAAGTTACGTTTTGTCCAAGAATGACAGGGTCTGGATTCATTTTAACGTTGAAAACTCCATCAGGGCTACCAGGACAGACAATAAATTCAGTCTTTCTTTTTTGGAATGGAATAGCATTGACGGTGAGAAGTGCAGCCAATAAAGTAAATATGAAAATAAATTTTTGATTCATTATTTCTTTATGTTGATAGGCTTTAACAGGATAATTGATATTTTGATTATTATTTCTTTATGTTGATTGATATTTAGATTATTAAAGAACTGGCTTCAAAGTTGTTCCCCTTTTATAAGAATTTATCGAAATGACAGACTTGGACGTTATTTCAAAAATCTTACCCTCGAAAAATAACACATGCGTATCCCAAAATAACGTATGCACATTATGTTCTTTTTAAATTTCGGCGATTCCATATTTATCAAAAGATCATAACTATTGAATGCTAATCCTGTAATCAGCGACATATTACGCAATTGAAAGCGTATATAAACTCAAGCTTTCAAATGTAACAAAGACGGAGATTCTCTTCGATTTTTACCCTGTAATAATAAAGGAAGTAAGCCAGTGTAGAGCCAAAGAGACCTTTATTAAGTAAAAATTGAAAAGAATCTATCGGTCGCAAAAGTTTAGATCTTCCTGTAACTATTAGAGATAAATTGGGCTGTTCAATCTAAATTTCCCGAATAATACTACTGTGTAATGAATAAAATGATGAATTAAATACTGTTGTAACTCGGCGTCCTGAGGCGATCATGCCAATAGGGCCAAAAGGGATAGGTATGTCCGTTCCGAAGAAAAAAATTATCACTACTTTTTTAAACTCGTACAAATAAAATGTATTACAGCTGTTTTCATTATTCCTGGGACACCTATAAAAAAATTAGCCGAAAAATTTTTCGGCCGGTAATTTTTTC